CATCAATGGGAAACATCTTAATGTTGACATCCTGACCTCACAACATCATTTCAGAAAAAAAACACTCCAAGTGTAGAAAAGTCTCCTGTGTCAGGACCTGAGCAAAGGGAGAGTGGCTCCATCTCAGGCTATGGGCTGCTGTGGGTGGTGGAGTCCTGCAGCCACTCTGGTGTGTGCTGGCTATGTGCAAGGTTACAAAGACATCCTGCAGCTCATCGTGCAGCCCCTGGACCACACGATGCTGTTTCCAAACCTATTTAAATGAAGAACAGGGAAGGGACTGTGCTGAGGAAGATGCTTTCTTTTTGGCACATCCCACACTAAGAAGTATTTGCCGATAAGCTGATAATCAGGTGGCCTGGCCACCCCTGGTACGTTAGACCTTGCTGCTTAGAGAATATTTGATCATACAGTATCTCCATTAGGAGTTTGTAATCCGCTATCACGGCATTTGAGAGCCATTTGAGTGTAAGGAGATTTTTATTAATGGTTCATGAGCCTGAAAGTCAAAATTGACTCTCAGAGCAGATTTTAACAGTTTGTGCAGCATTTATATATTTATCTGTCTGTTTGCCACCTCTTCTCCCTCCCACATCTCCAACTTCCAGTCTGCCCCAGTGCAGAGGCTACGGCAGCATTAGCAGCAGCAGGAAGATGGCCTCGATTGCTGGCTTTGCTGCATTTTTTCCTTTCCTTTCCTTTTCGTTTTTTCTTTTTTCTTTTTTTTTGCTTTTTTCCTTTTTCCTTTCCACGTCTTTCCTCCCCTTTCCCTTCCTTTCCTCCCCTTTATTTCTTTTCTTTTTCTCTTTTCCTTTCCCTTTTTTCCCTCTTCTTTTCCTTATCCCCTTTTCCTCTCCCTCTCCCCTTTTCATTTCCTCTTTTTCTTTTCCCTGCTTTTTCTTTTTTGCCTTTTCCTTCTTCTCTCTCTCTCTTTTTTCCTTTTATTTTTTTTTCTTTTGCTTTCTGTTTTTCTTCTCTTCCTCCTTACCCACAGTGCTCCTGGAGCGCTGCACAGCCACTACAGCAGGCAGAGCAGCTTAAACCTGCATGCACTACTGCTGTGGGCTTCACTGTATCCATCAGTGCTAAATACACTTGTATATATACGAGTATATATATGTATCAGTACATGCTAGTATCAGGCATTTAACATGCCTGCATTTATACTACATGGGTTGGTGCCACACACATTTATAGCTATGCACCATTATGTGCATTTCTGCTATTTACTTCCTCAGACTTGCATTCATACATGCATTTGTGTGATATATGCAGTTGTGTGTATGCATTGAGAAGAGCATTCATGCTATGTGTGTTTACGGATATGCTCCATGCGTGCCTAAGCAGGGTGTGTGGGAGGTGCCCCCTCCCCAACTTACAGCCCCCAGCATGGGCTGATGGAGGCCATGGCCCTGTGATGGCCATGGGGTGTTCCCTCCTGAGCTCTGCCTCTTTGGCACCCCTGCTTCAGCAAGGAACCTGGGGATTAAACCCTCTTACCTTGGGAAATTAGAGTGGAAGAAGGGGAGATAGGGCGAGGGCCCCTCTGATGTCTCCTCACATCCCCTAAAATTGGATGGGGCCCAGGACCCAGACCAAAGCCAAGCCAAGCTGCAATCTTATCCAGCCCTCCAAACCCCAAATCCAACCCCAAGCCTCCCAAATCCTCCACCATCCCTTCAGCTCCTCCCTGTAAGCCTCAGGTAAGGGCAGTGCTGGTGCTGAGTGGGGCCTTTTGGGGGCTCCCTGTGCACCCATTGGGGAAGCTGTGCTGTGAGTCCCTAAATCCAGCTTTTGGCTCTAATTGTCCCCTGTCTCCTTGGAAACTGGCAGGTCCTGAAAATGAGATTATGCAGAACTCATCCCTGCTTTGGAGCTGGGGCAGTGCTTTCTGACTGAGGACTGGGCACTCAATAATTGCCTCCAGTTTTCTTGTTCTCCCCCCATTTTTGCCTTTTTTTTTTTTCCCCTCTGGTGGGAAACATCCCCCTACAGAACAGGGGGTGGATAAGAGGCATCTCAAATCTAACACACCGCCAATGAACTCTTTGCCCTTAAATCTGGCTTTCCAAAATGAAACCAATGTGGTGAACCATCAACTTCTCTACTGATTTTATTTGATTCAGAGTCCCCTTCTGCAGCTTCCATTCAGAGGAAATGAGTTTAGCTGGAAGGGAGATCTAAAACACTGAAAATGAAAAAGGAGTTAAAATGTTCTTTAAATAATATATTGCATTTGCTGCCTCACCACAGGATTTTGCCCTTTGCCTACATGAGCACCCATTTAAATTAAAATCAGAAAACAGGTAGAGACCATGTGGGGAGTGCAAAATGCCAGGAAAAAAATTTAGAGAAAGAAATTCTTGGCACGAACTGGCTTTTCTGATAAAAATGAGCGCTAGCTGAAGGAGCTCATCCCTAAAAGACAGGGAACCACTCAGAAAAGAACAGCAAAAGATAAGATGGGAAGAGCAAAACGAGAAAAGTGCTTTTAAAGAGGCTGCAAAAAAAGAAAAAAAAAAAATCAAAAGCCCACCAAACAAAGAGCCTTTCCAGGCAGGTGTGATGCTGTGCCCTAATTCAACAGGGATTTGCTTTTCCTGCGTGTATTTTGCATGAGTGGTTTTTTGGGGAGGGTTCAACTCCATTGGTTTGCACCAATGCTGGAAACTCATGCGTGGCTTTGCGGGCAACGCTGGCAGTGGGGAGCTGGAAGCATCCTTAGCTGGGAGCAGGGCAGCCATGGGCACAACCCATGCAAAAACCATCCATGTGCTCTGAGAAATAAGGTGAAGCAGCATGAAAATTCGCCTTCGTTTGGAGACAGCTGCTTTGCTGCGTGGTGGAGGGTGCCTGTTTTAAGGGAGGGGCACTGATGGTGGTTTTGGGGCACAGCAGCGTGTTGATAGAGGCGGTTGATTGAAGGAAGCTCCCTGTGGGACCCTACAAGGATTGAGCAGAGCCCAATGGGAAAGCGAAGCCAAGGGATGCTCAAGGCTGCAAGAAGACATCGTGCCCGTGAGCTACTTGGGGACCACGGCGGGGTGGTGGTGGCTCTGAGTTGGGTACAGCTGGTGGCAGGAGTGCAGATCCAGCAACCGCTTCCATTTGCCTCTCCTTTTCCAGCGGTCTGTTGGCTTACTGCATTAAATCCAGACTGACTACGGGGCTCACACAGTCCTAGAGGCACGCGTGAAGAGGTGAGGGCCCCTGTGAGCAGAGACATCAGGGAAGAGCCTGATCCTGATTCGTTTAGTGAAACTGCAGCTTGAAAACCAGCGCTTTCCTTCCCCAGTTCCTCTGCTCAGACACGAGCCCTGCCTGGTGCTCCCCGTCCCCCTTTTCCCTCTTGATTTACCGAGGGAAGTCCGGGACTCTCCCTAAATGAAGCATCATCCCTCCTCCGAAGGATGAGATTTGGGAAACAGGTTTGAAACGCCTGGTTGGGTTATAAAAAATATATAAAAATAAAAGAAATCAATCACTCCGTTTTGCATCCTTCCCTGCCCAAAAAGAAGCCCCCAGCCGGGGTGCGGGATCGTGAAGCCCTCTGCCCGCGGAACCGCTGCCGGCCGCGATCGAAACGGACAACAACCATGGAGTGTGCTAGAACCATTTTAATATAATTATACATATCTGCCAAATCCAAGAAAAGAAAAGGAAAAAAAAAAAAAAAAAAAAAAAAAAAAAAAA